GCAGCGCGAGTATAACTAGGCAGTAGGTGCAATGCATACTCAGCTTTTCGCTTCGGAGCCAAGCAATCACACCATTTTACTCCTGACTACTCTACAGAGAGAATAAGACTGAATGAGTTCAGCACGCTCTTTGGAGTTATTGGTGTTGGCGGTACGGCACTTCAGCTGTGGTGTTTTCCCGTGTCGAGTGGGTTGCACACATCAGGCTGCACTACCCCCTGTTTGTGTTGCAGGCGGCCATCTCCCCTGTGTGCTTCAGCATACTGAAAGAGCTTTTTGCCTAAAAGAGCATTCACGAGTGCGTCTTTTTAAAGTCGACGTTGTGTCTTTTTAAAGACGACATTGCGTCTGGCAAACTCGACGTTGCGTCTTTGTAAAGACAATGTATCACCCGTGCGTTTCTGGATGTGGTCGTTACCTGGTGTCGGGTGATGGTCACGATCGCTGCCTCACATGTCTGGGCATTAAGCATGCTGAGGTGGCGTTCATGGATGAGTCATGTTCTCATTGCAGGAAGATGACGATTTCGGAGTTGCGGTCCAAGCTCCGTTACCTCAAAAGGGGTGGGTTCTCAAAAGGGGTGGTTCTCATCATGGCGGCAGTCAGGCGGGGGCTACTTCAGGTGGTCTGAGGGTAACAGTGGTCTGAGGGTAACAGTGATAGCAAACCCTCCAGGGAACTAACCCGCGGGGGACCATCGTTTCTCTTGCATTCCACAACCAGTTGAGCTGCCAAAGGAATATGTTGGGCGCTCTACAAGGAGCATGCCAGCAGTATCCTTCAGGTGCTCCTGCTGACGATCGTATGTCGATCGCGGGCCAAGCTCCGTTACCTCAAAAGGGGTGGCGCTCCGTTGCCTCTGTCTCGATCTAGTTCTCGTCATGGCGGCAGTCAGGGGGGGGCTACTTCAGGCAGTAGCACAAGCGGTCTGAAGGTAATAATGATAGCAAACCCTCCAGGGAGCCAACCCTCAGGGGACCATCTTTCTTCTTGCACTCCGCAACCAGTTGAGCTGCATTGGACGGTGAGCCGGAGCTTTCTGGAGAGGAAGATTCGGCTGCACTGCTGCCCTCTGGGACTGTAGCAATGCCTGAATCGGATCCGGAAATGACGGCTATGCTTTTTCGGGCCGCTGTGA